AGATGTAGATTTGGTCATCTGATTCAGATCATTTGTTATTTCAAAAAAAAATTTTTTTGTCGATTTGGTCCTTTTTCCCCTTATATAATGCAATATACTTAATAGAAGTCAGTGTATGGCAAATGATCAGGTCATTTGACTAGTATCTTTCGAGATAGATCAAAATCTGCTAGCGTTATATTGTTTTGATGAACTATATGTAAAAGGTTCATAAACTAGTTGCATTTTTTATAATGTCAAAGTCAAACAAAACTATTTTATAAAGTCAAAAAATTAAATTTTACTATCTTTTAAAGCATTTTTTATCATAAAATAAAACAAAAAAACATTAACGTTATATATTCACATACGCGCAACTGTCACTCGAGCAAGAAGCAATCCAACAATAAACAAGAATAAAAAAATGATCATAGCTAGGAAAAAAATAGAAAGAATTTAATTACTCAAGCAAATACTTTAGTAAATGTAATTTCGTTATCATTTATCGGTCCAAACGCATTTGATCATCTCAAAGTTATTTCGTTTTAGAAAGCTATGCACATTTAATAATTATACACGTATACAATTGTACTTTCTTGCATGTACATTTAATAATCGTTCTTTTATATAATAAAATAATATTTTTAATAGCTTATATTGTAATATCACGATCATAGTTTAAATAAACTCTCCGTGACAAATCATATATGGCAGTGTAAATATTTACGTAACTCCGGTATTAAACAATCGTGTATTTATGGGATGTATGATATGATTGGAGTCAAGATTTTGATAATTGGACTAGGGTAATTCAAAAGTAAAGTATAGCGTGGATGCCCCTATGGTGTGAACCTTACAAGACTCGGTATATAAAACCGCATGGAGAGATATATCATGTTTTCTTTAAAATTTTGGATGATTCAGAACATTTATCAAGAAGATTCATTGAATTCGGAAATAAATCCGTATACATCATAATATCTCAACAATCTTTCTATTTCTCGCACTTCCTCAAAATCTCATTATATTGGTCATTTACAATATAATAATAAAATTATGGTGCTAAAGATTAAATTTGATATTTAAATTGGAAAGTAAAAGGCATTATCTATTAAATGTCGAAAAAAAAAGGATTTTATAATAATTCAGTTGTCATTGCTTATGGAGCAGGTAGCTTCGAGGACATGCATTAGTCTTATAAAAACAATTTTTTACGGAACTTAAGAGACTGTGCTTGTTTCTGAATTTCCTCACGAGTATTTAATAATTTTTCAAAAGAAATTTTATTTATTATATTTATTGAACATCATTTATTTATTTTTTAGTGTAAAGATAGATTTAAATATCCACAACGTTATTATGCTTTGAAAGTTTGGAGACCGAATTGTCTAACTCCTTGGAATAGAAATATTAGGGATTTTTTTAAACGTGTAATAATGATTGATAGCATATTTTACTAAAAATAATGCCAACTTTAGTACTTGTTTTCCAAATCATTAATGTTCTAAAAAAAGCATTGACGTCAGTGATCGACATCGATAACCATATAAATACTAAAAAAAATTAATCATTCTTCCCTCAAAGAAAAATGAGCGCTAATTATCAGAGTGTCAATCAGCAACTTCCCTTACTTTATCAGCAGGCTGTACATATTGCGGAAAATGCTGTCAAAGAGGATCAAAATGGCAATGTTGAAACTGCTATCAAATCTTATTCAGATGTTACAGAGGTATATTGAATTTTTTTTTTTTTTTCGCGCACCACATTCAAAATGATTGATAAATTCACTTTTTTACTAGATTTTTGAATCGATTTTACGATGTGAGTTTTTCTAATGATTTTGAATGTTTTTTCAATTACAACCTTCAAATAATTCAAAATTCATTGTAAATTAACAAGTTGAAACAAATCAAATAAAGAAAAACAAAATCTGTGAAAAAAATCAAGAGTATAACAGACGTATTGCTGAATTAAAAAATATTATTCTGCCAGAATTGACAGTTTTCGGTCAATTATTGAAGCAGGCTAAGGTTTTATATATTTTCTAATATTCAGAGTTTTAAAATCATGAAAAAAAGAATGTTTATCATAACATTAAAAAATGTCTTTTAGTCTAAATCGGATCAAGCTCTATTACATGATAGACAAAAAAATAATCAAAAAGCTTTAGAATTGTATACGGAATCATTAGAATTATTTATGAAAGCTATTAAAGGTATTCCTCTATTATATAGTAAATGTTTTTAAATAGATTAATATATATGATTATAATTACAATCTGGTAATAAGAAACAAAGGATGAGTCGATTATAGCGAAATTGACTGAAAGGATGAACCAAATGTTTGAAAGAGCTGAAGATTTGAAAGGATTACCGACCAATTCTATGTCTTTATTATGTAAGTTAGTTGTTTGAAAAATCAAATTTTTTTGTTATTGTTTCTAAATTTTTTTATTTTATGAATAGCGCTTAAATCAGCTAATCCGAACGCGGAGAATCCTTTGTTATCTTCATCAAATTTTGGGTTATCTAATTTGGAAATTGAAGTTCTTGAAAAAAATTCACAAATAAATGACAAAGTCTTTCCTCCATGGCCTGAAGAAATAAATGAACAATTCGAATATGACAAACCATTTATGTATGTTCATTATCGTCACAAGATACTTGAGTTATTATGTTGATTCATGTTATTATCTTTAAATTAGAGATGATGATGGACTTTTGAACTTGTCGATAATTCAGAGAGCAAACTTTGGTTCATGGAAACGACCATCTCAAATAATGGAAGAACCCAAAATGATTACAATGATTTCAAGTGCAGCAATCAAACAAGTAATAACTTATTTTAATATTAGGAGATTTTTATTGAATTGCATATGACTTTATATTACGATGTTTTCTTTTTGTAGGATATTGTAACCGATTGCTCATTCGTAGCGTCATTATGTGTCAGTGCGGCATATCAAAAACGATTTGGTAATAAGCAGGTTAGAGTTTAATCTTTTTAAATTTTTTTTATCAAACTTATTAATATATATAGATTAATAATTAATTAATTTATTTATTTTATTGTTTTTTATTTTTATTTATTAGTTGATTACCAGATGTATTTTTCCTAAAAATAAATTTGGTAATCCTTATTACAATCCGAGTGGAAAATATATGATAAGATTAATTTGTAATGGAATTCCAAGAAAAGTAAGTTCGTCATTATCATTCAGATATTCTTTATTAATTGATTGTATGATAATATTCTTTTTTATTTTCATTTAGGTTGGTGAGTAAAGTCAGTAGAAATCATTATTTAATTATCAAATATTTAATTTTGATATATCAAAACACTATATTTCAACTGATTTTGAAAAAAAAATTATTCAAAAAGTTGTTGATGACTTACTTCCACTTTCTCGCGATGGAACTCTCATGTGCACATTTTCAACGAATAAGAACGAATTATGGCCAAGTATAATTGAGAAAGCCGTAAGTTTAATGAGATATTGTTGTTCCTATTTAATTTATTTTAACGTAATTTTTATTATTTATTTAGTATTTGAAATTAATGGGAGGTTATGATTTCCCGGGATCGTAAGAATATAATTTGCTTTTGAATCTATTTAAAACAGAAAATTTACTAAAAAAAATGTATATATTTATTTCACTTTTTAATTAAAAGAAATTCCGGAATTGACCTCTAGTACGTTGAGTTAATTTTATAAAAAATCAAAGGAAATTGAGACATTACTAATTCAGGGTTAATTTTAGTGCGCTTACTGAATGGATTCCTGAACATATTTTTATAGACGAGTAAGGCTTTGATCTTTTATAATGAAATTTTTGAATTCCTTAAACATCTCTCTTTTTTTGTTAGCCAAGACTTTGAAAAAGAAACTACGTGGAAGCGGCTCTTGGACGGTCAAAGATATGGTAATATATATATATATATATTATAGGAATTCCGATATAAAAGCAATCCTTTTTATTCATACTGTTTTTCATAAACAGGAGATGCTCTTGTTACTATTGCTACTGGCTACTTAAGTGATGCAGAAGCCGATTCCCTTGGATTAGTTCCTACGCATGCTTATGCTGTTTTAGGTGTGTATTATTGTTTTAAAATGAGTTAAATATATATCTATATATATATTAATATCATTCATATTAGATATGCGTGAGACGAATGGCTTCTGTTTATTGCAAGTAAGAATATATCGAATATTATTAAATTTTTTACATTTTGTTTAATAACAAATTATTTGGTGACTTTATTTTTTAAGGTTAAAAATCCATGGAGTCATAAAAGGTGGATGGGTCCATTTAGTCATTTAGATGACGTCAATTGGACGCCTGAATTAATGAAAACACTAGATTATGATAGAGAGAATGCATTGGACGCTGATGATGGTATGTATGTATGTCTTCAATAATATATTAAAATAACAGTATTATTCACTTAATTATTATTTTACTTGTGGTAGGAATATTTTGGATTGATTTCGATTCTGTATGTCAGAATTTTTTCTCGATCCACATGAATTGGAATCCAGAACTTTTCCCCTATACAGCTATTAAACATTCGTGAGTTTTTCGAATTATTTCTGCCTTATTCTTTTTCTCCTCTTTAATAAACCATAACAATTCCTTAATTCCTTAAAATAGCACATGGCCTGCAAATGTTAGGTTGCAAAAAGACAGTTTGAATTTAGGTAAATTTCTCTTGAAACAGATATGTTTCTTAATTCTTTAAATCATTCAGATCACGATGGTACTATATATAATTATTAGGATATTATCCACAGTTTTGCTTGGAAGTTACAAATGATAGTGAGCATCCATCTCCGGTTCGTCTTTTGTTGACCAAACATATCACCGTGACAGAAGAGAATAAGGATTACATCACGCTACATATTTATAATGATACAAATGGAGATAAGATTTATTATCCTAGAACGCCTTGGAAACAGGTAATTTTCATGCATAAAACCATTTGTTATATTTTTATTTCATATTAAAGAAGAATTTCCTAAAAAATTTTAGGGTGCATATGTAAATAGTCCACATATACTGGTACGTGCATTAAGATTATATTGTAATTTGGTTCAATTTAATTTAAACTTATTTATTAAATTAAAGGTTCGGTTTAATGCACCAACGGGCGTAACACGTTATACCATTGTTGTTGCTCAAATCGAAAAATCTAAATCCTTGGATTTTACACTTAAATGCTACTGTATGTCCAAAGTCAATTTATCAGAAGTTCCGAAGAAGTACCCAAATGTGAAGCATGTGTGTATTAATTAATTCATATTATCACTTATTTCATTGCTCGTATATTTGTCATAATACTTTTCAACCCTTATTTAGATTTCTGGTCGATGGACAAGTCAAACAGCCGGTGGAAATGCAAGTAATATTACTTATTTAAACAACCCGGAGTATCGTGTTTCTATAATGCCACCAACGTCCAATTTATCGTCGGATAAACCTCGAATATTATTAATGTTGGAAGGTCCTAGGATGTATGAGATAGATGTCAGAATGATATGGAGCAATGGAAAAAGAATTGCTAGGTATGCATATCAAATCATGATATTCTTCGATATTTTTCGTTGTACTTAAAATTTTTTTTCCTCTTAGTCTTGTTCCCAAGGATATATTGATGAAATCTAACGGTTATCGTAAAGGATTTTGCTATTGTGAAAAGGATGATGTAAAACGTATGTGATTTGAAAATAAAATTTATGTTCAACTGAGAGGTTATAACTTTATTCAAAAAATATTTTTAAATAGCCGGGGACTATACTATTGTTGTGTCAACATTTGAACCTGGCATTATTGAGGAATTCATATTAACTGTAGCATCAAATGTCACATTTAACGTTACTCCTATCCCACTCGAAGGAGCTGTAAGTCATCAAGAAAGTTAAAATAAATGAATTTTAAACTATTCAAATAATGGATATTGATTTCACTTTATTATTAGGGAATGTTCAAGAAAGTAATTCAAGGACAATGGTAATTGAATTTATTTACATTTTTCTTTAATATTATAATTTTCAATCTTTATTGATTTGATTTGATTTGATTTATAGGATTGAGGGCGTTAATGCTGTTGGTTGTCATCGACACAATGATTATTACTTAAATCCAAGTTACCATCTTAAGATTTCAGAAATGATTAATGTCAAGTAAATATCATTCGTTTTGTTTAAAATTCTGAATAACAATCATATTTAATAAATTATCAAAATCTCTTTATAGAATTAGGCTTCAAACACCAGAAATTAGGCCTACACCAATGATACATATCAAAATATTTGAGAAACTTTCAAATCATTCACTTGGTAAAGAAGTGGCTAATTCCGGACATTATGCTAGTTTTGTGCAGGGCGTATGCACGGATGATATAGCACTTCCCTCATCCGACCAAGGTTATGTCATAGTATTTAGCACCTGGAAAAAAAATGTATCTGGCAAGTTTGTTGCTCACGTTTTTACCGATAGAAATGTAATTGTTGAAGAAATTGTTCGTGAAAAAATATAATGGAGCTCGCGGCGGGAATCAATTATTTAGAATAGAATTTATAAATATAGATCTGATGTATTATTAAGTACTTTATTTATTTAACAAAAAAAAAAAAAAAAAAAAATTAATAAACCGAGTCATGAGATATGTGAATTATAGAATGTCATACATTGATAAATGAAATTTTTAAATTTGGAACTACTGGAGAAGTTTATCGTTTATTATTTTATCAAATATTAATAATTACATGATTATAATTTCTCCTTATTGAACTTGATAAAATCCAGATTCAAATGAAATCCATTCCAACCTTTTCCACCCACTCCATTTATCGAAAAGATTGAAAGGCTATTTAACCAACATTACATCCCCCCTTTTTCCTGATACTCGATTTATTGATGCCGTTTGATTATTTGGTGTTTTTATTGCCGATTTGTATTATGAAAATAAGGTCAACATATTTTAACTAGTGTTCTTGATGACACTTGGACACGAGTTATCTAAATGCCGATATGGTGAATCTTTCTATCATCAAGTGTATTTCAGTTGCAGGGAATTGAAATTTTTTTTAAAGCAGATAAGGGCGTTCCCCTTAAATTTACGGCGAGTGAATTGACCTTCCGAGACACCGCCATGATTCATGATTCATGCATCTTAAATATTTATATTATTCACGTGAATTATGTGTATTGTAAACATTTGATTCATTTCGTGTATTTTAATTAAACGCTTTGTGTTTCTTTTTAAATTCATGCTAGCATTTATTTTGAACGTTTGGGTCGTTTTGTTATTAAAATCGAGTCATGAGACATCGTTAATTTTACTATTTATCTGAGTTTTGGTATTTTGGAAAGGGGAAAAGTGGAAATTTTTATAAGTTAATTTATCATTACACAATTTTTTTTGTTGCGAGACCGTTACTAATCTTGGTAGTTAATGGATGTCTTTACTGCCGAATAAGGTTAATGACTTCGTTCGAATGGGTTTCATTTCTTGTGTGTCGATCACCATTAAAAATTTTTATCAACTGCATCTTTGGGTAAAAGTATCCTATTGTAAGGTTTATTATTATTTTTCAAATATAACACCGCACAAGACCATTCATGAAATTCACAATAACAAAAAAATTGGGAATATAGAAATTCGTTATAGTGAGGTTCAACTGTAGTAAAAAAGCGATCTGCATCTATTATCCAAAATTCTTTTATAATTGGAAAAACTGTTCAACATCAAATATAAATCAAAGCTATTTTGGAAAGATTCTTTTTTTTCTTGCCAATATTGATTTCACCCTCCTCAAAAAGAAAATTTGAATCCTTAAATGGTAAATACAATATAAGGTCACGTGAAAAATGCAAAAAATTATGAAATTGCCTCAAGTCATATGCAATCTCTAATTTTTCACCAGCAAATTTTTTTTTAAATTCTCTGGGTTATGACAAACGTTTCGATTTAATTTGTTCTTTACTAACAAGAAGTTAGAAGGATCTCTCTGCAAAGTTGGTCATTAAAATATTATAACCTTTTAATAAATGAAAAGCTATGCAAACTATACAAACAAATTTGACCTTCAAAATTATACCTTTATTCAAGAATTTTATAATTTTTAAATGAAATAATAAAAATAATATTATTTTAGAGATTGGAAATATGTTCTATAAGTGAATAGTTAATGTAAAAGAAAATAATAAAAGACAAAGTTAGTGAATATATTTTAAGCATGTAAACAAAAAATATATCTTTAAAAATAAAATTATTTGTATTTTTAAACAAAAAAAGTTACAAGTGTTAAGTAAAATATCTCATTATTCCTTTAAATTTGATAAAGTAAATATAAACTTCAAAACAAATTTAACAATAAATATACATATTCTAACATTTAAATGCTTCATATAAAAAACTTTTGAAAAGAATCAAAATTGATTAAAGGATCTCTACTTTAAGGTCAAAATGTCATAATAATACCTATATATGTTAGAGCATATGAATTTGTACATTTGCATAATTTCGCATTTATGCATTATAATTTCACATAACACATTGGTCATTTTTTGAATTTTTTATGTGATCTTATATTGTATTTATCATTTAAGGAAGAGAAATCTGTTTTGGAGGGTATAAACTTTTAACCTTATAGGAAGAAATTCATGTGATTTACCAATCAATTTCAATTGAACTTATATTGTTTAAGATACTTTTCTGAAAATAAGGTTTTACATAAAAAAATTTTTTTTATATATAGTTTTATTAAAATGTTAAAATGTTATTTCCAAAATTAATCTTAAATTTAAAGGATATTTACTTAGTAATAATGTTATAAGTAAACTAAAGAAATTTAAAGAATCATATGTTATAGAAATTTGCAAAAAAAAGTTTGAAATATAATGAACTGTTACTAATATGGTAATATCTCGTGGAAAGGCCAGTAAAATACTTTCTGAATATATTAAAGAAAATGATATTATATGTTTAAACTGTTATAATGCAATTATTATTAATATATTTACTGAATTTTATAACATGCATTAGAACAGTATTGTTTTAAGAAGCTGGAAACTTCTAACAATAATATTTTGTTTTTTTCACAGGATATAAAGATAATTACAAAAATTCTTTACAAAAGGAAACATAAGTTGCGATCACTAATTTGAATATTTAAAGAATTTCGTATGCTTATGAAATTGGAAGATAAGCGGTTGAGATATTTTTTAATGAATTATACTTACCATACAATCCATCAACAAAAAATAAAATATAATAAAAAAAAGTATTAAAGCAATTAGTGTTTTTATATTATTATCTTTGTAGAATTAGAAATAAATGTAAAAAGAGATTTAGGAATGTATTTAGATTCTACTAGAATACCAAATTTAACAATAGATACCATGATAACATTAGGTCTGACAATAACGTTTTATTCAATTTCTTATCATAAGAATACTATATCTGAAAACATCTGATAACTGTGGAATCAAATCTTGCAGATAGTATAAATAATGCAATTATTTTAAATATTGACGATTATCATAGCATTTATACTAAAAAAATGTCTAATACATTTATAACATTAACTATAATATATTTTGCTATTTTTTTAAATAATCTAATCAAAAATGAACCAGTAATATTAAAACAAGATATTCATAATTCTGCATTAGTTGATGCTTCATTAATTAAAATTGGAATTAAAAATTATTTTATGTTAACATATTCACTTTCTCATAATCAACATTGAGGATTTTGTTTTATGAATGATAAAATAAAGCTCGAAAAATTGGCAGTTTATAGTTATGATATCTGTTTAAAAGAAAGAAGAAATACAATATCAATAAAAGATATTATACTTATAAACCTCATGAAAATAATCTTCATTCAATGAAAGTTTATATTAATGCTATTAATATTGTTACTTCTGTTCTAATAATAATTAGATATATTGAAGAAGGCAATATCATCCTAATCATTGCCGATTGGTCTATCAAATATTATTAAGAACTATTATAATATAGTATCTTGTTTATGGTAATTTTTCTGAAATTACTAATAAAGTTTTATTATTTTTTTCAATGTTAGATCCTTTATATATCTCATTGAATAGTTGTGAATTAATATTTCTTAAATACCAACCTTTTTTCTTGATAATGTACAAATATATATTTAGTAAAAAAAATATAATTGCTCAAAAGCTAAAACTATAGCGTATAAATTTACTATTGAAACACTTACACAATACATGATAGCATATTGCAATAATGATTGAAGTAAAATTCAGCTATATGTGTAAAGATGCAGAATATATAATACTTAAAAACCTGTCAGATAATGAAATTCTACTGGTTTTTGATATTTATGCTTTATTTTTTATGAATGATTTTAAATCTTATATTGAATCTTATTTTCATATTTGGTCTATTTTTTTTAAATTTAACCATAAAAATTATATTAAAGCACCTTTGATATTTCTTTCAGACATTTTTTACTGGCAATCAAAAGATCATTCAATTCTAAAGACAATGAAGACTGAATTATCAAAATTCTCTGATACACCTGTAGAAATATTTCATAATATTTTACAATGTAATATGAAAAAGCATTTTACAGCAGATCAAATAATAAAAGAAGAACAATATATCAACTATTTATGATTTAATAATGATGCCTTTAAGGAAAATTTTATTCATACTTTAATTTGAACAGTGTATTAGTATTCTTCTCATAATATTATAACTTTAATACAGAAAACTGTATGCTTTTTGTTAAATTATTTTTTAGATATTTATACTTGTATTTATTATAAGAAAATTTAATTTTTAATTCTACTACAGATTATTACAAAACATTCATCAAAAAAGAGCAAGAAATCCAATGTTGAAAACAGTTTTAATATTTCAGTAATGAAGATAAATGAAGCAAAGTTTGTCATTTACTTATAGAATATAGTTTTTCATATAAGCCTAGTTTATCTGATTGCAATTCTTCTAATTATTCTATTACTAATATTATAATTACTGTAGAAACAGGTCAGATATTACTGTGTGGTCATTTATATCACAACATATGCTTTGGCAAAGATGGATACAAATGCTTGCATTATTTAGATTATATTAAAAATGATGTTGACAAATATGTTCAATCCCTTTTAGTTAGCTTATGCTGACTTAAATCAAATAATAATATTGAAAGCAAAGAGTCTGATTCAATTTTTGAAGAAGATGATAATACTAAAGAACCTGCCAATAATATTTTAGCTTCTTAAAATGATATAATATTACAATTTCTTTTATTATAGTTATATAAGCATTTTATCAATTATTAGAGCTCTGCAATTCGATTTGATATTTGAATATTCAATTTAAAAATCAAATCAAATACAAAATCAAATTTATATTTGATTTGATTTGATCAAATTCAAATCAAAGAATGATTTATTTGATCAAATCCAAATTAATATTTGATTTGATTCAATCAAATTCAAAT